TCTTGAAACGGAAGATGGTGCAAGTGGTTGCTGGGCGCTGGATTCACATTTTGCAATTCCGTAGGGCTGGCATGAGCTTTTTGGATGATTGTTGGAAATTTGTCAGCAAACAAGGTCAAGGTGAACAGCTGGCTCTTAAAACCAAAAGAGAGTTTTCGAGGCTGGTTGGTGCGATCCCGTTGCTTCATACACACCTAGGAGCACAGGTGGATGACACTTTGTGGTGTAGTGATGCTTCGGAGGTTGGGGGAGCAGTTGGTTTCAGTAGAGAGTTGACTTCCCAGGGGAAAGACTTCGTTCTCTCTAACAGGATTTCTTGCAGAAGCTTGGGCACTTCCCCTATCCTGGTTGTCGGGTTGTTTTTCCGGGATAGGGGGTACGTTTCGGATTTACGATATTCTGGATATTGCCCCGCAAGGGGCTGTGGCAGTAGATATCCACCCTCCTGCCAACAGAATTGTGAGTCGCCAGTGGCCTGGTGTGGAAATCCTCCGAGATGTTAGAGACATCACATCAGAGACGGTACAAGCCTGGCAGCGGTGCTTCCATACCGTCAAGAAAAGTCCATCTTTGGGGAGGCTTTCCTTGCAGAGATCTCAGCTCAGCTCGAGCCAATCGAAGGAATTTGGAGGGAAATCAGAGTTCCCTCTTCTTTGAATTTCTTCGGATTTGGGGAATCCTGCGTGAGACGTTTCCTGAGGAAGTGGAGATTAAGGTAGCAGCAGAAAATGTCGCATCCATGGACGAGAGCGCTTCAGCAGAGATTTCAGAATGGATGGAATGCAGGCCGTACTATTTGGACTCTGCTGATGCTGTGCCACTCAAGCGGCCAAGATTGTGCTGGACAACTGAGATCATCGAAGGTTCTCTTATAGGTATAGAGGTTGAGCCAGATAGAAGGTGGAATAGGGTGGTCGCTAAGTCCCAGTACCCAGAGGTCTCACAATGGATCACACCGGGTTTTTCATGGCCAGGCGAACAGGTGGCAGGAAGCTTTCCCACATGTATGAGAGCAGTTTGGAAAACCGAACCACCTTGCAAACCAGCTGGGATCCACAGGGCTGATGAGGATTGCCAGTTAAGGTGGGCGGCCACGGGGTATGTCTACCCGCCCTATCAGTTTCGAGAAGAGTTCCTACTGTGGAGAAACAGTTCTTGGCGACTCACCAATAGTTCTGAGAGGGAGTTATTGATGGGTTACGGCTTTGGACATTGTGATGTTGCTTGGTCGGCTAGTCGTATTAAACAAGATCCCAAGGCCTATGAGTTGGAAAAAAATGTTCACTGATCGGTGACGCTTTCAGTATTTATTCCTTCTCAATAGTAGGTGCCGCACTTTGCAAACAATTTCTCCCCCAGATGCACTACCGGCACCTTTGCCAGAGGATGGGATTAGCTCCGGGGTTTCGAGCCGCTCTCCGACTCCAAGCCGAGAACTTCGGTATGGTTGTCAACTGGTGGCGGAGGCTGAAGGTTCAGGGTCAGTGCGTGATTTCAACTTGTTGATGCTTGGTCGTACTAACTTTACAGGCAGTGATGTCCGAGTTTTGAGTGGTACATTGGTTAATCCCCGTGCTTTCCCTCGTCAATCGATTCGGTCGGCATGGTTTGTGTGGCAAAGAGGCTTTAGGACACAATGAGCGAGACCACAACACATTAATCAACTTGAATTAAAGGCTATTTTGTTGAGTGTGCTGCGAGGCATTAAGTCAGACCAATGGAGTGATCGCCGGATCTTCCACATCAGCGATTCCTATGTCTCGATTAGCGTGATTGCAAAAGGAAGGTCTAGCAGTAAAATGCTCAATCGAGTGTTGAAAATCCTCAATGCCCACCTCCTTTTATATGGTGTATTTCTCATCCTAGGCCACATTGAGAGCACTGAAAACCCGACCGATGCCGAGAGTCGTCGGAAGAGTCATCCATAAGCGGACTCGTGCCGAAAGGAGGTTTGCCCGGAGAGGCCTTGACCTGAGGTTGGCGGGAATTACCGCCAAGACTCGAGCCGCTTACTTTGTCGCGCTGAGTCTGTTGTTACCATTCATTGAAGGCATCCAAAGTGAGGCTGAACTTGATTTGGCGTGCGCAGAATGGGTGGCCCTGTGTTGGGAAGATGGAGAGTCGTTGTATACCGTCGGCAACGCTTTGTCAGGCCTCCACTTTTTCGAGCCGATGACCAAGAGAAGAATTCCATCCGCTTGGAAACTTTTCGCCAACTGGAAAAAGTTGGAATGGCCGGCTCGTGCACCTCCCCTGCCGTATGACATCGTTCTTAGCGTTGCCCACTATGCATTGTGCCATGATGATTTGTTCTTTTGTTGCTTGATGGCACTGGGGTTCTTTACGCTCTTGCGTACAGGCGAGCTTTTGGCCCTACGAGGACAAGATCTGTTGGTGAATTCAAAAAGACTTGTTGTATCACTTAAAGATACCAAGACTGGCAAGCGCAATGCCGCCGATGAAATGGTCACGTGTGATCATCCATTCGCAGTCTTGGTAGCACAAACCACGCGTGAACTGATGGCCAGCAAACAGATCCTGCATCACAGGTTGTGGGAATTTCCTGGCCAGGCATTTAGGAATCACTTCGATTCTTACATGCGGCGCTTTCGCCTCCAAGGCTTTTCTTTCAGGCCTTACAGCTTAAGGAGAGGCGGTGCTACGTGGGTTGTGCAGACTACAGGAAGTATGGAAGTGGCCCTTTTAAAGGGCCGTTGGGCCTCTCACAGAGTCGTGCGAATTTACATCGCTGACGGCATTAGCAAGTTGCCTGACATCCTTCTTTCCCCTCATAGTCGCCATCTTCTTCGACATTGGGATCCCCGTCGGCCTTGCACCGACGAAAAGGGGGTCCGTGGAAAGGAGGTGTGATGTGGCCAAATTTGGCCTTCGCTTGGCCTGCA